TGTGTGTGTGTGTGTGTGTGCACTCACCTGCACTGGAGGCTGACCACCTCATGCCCTGAGTATGGAACACCCCATAGGAAACAGATATGTGGGACCAGAGGGGCCTTACTTGATGAGGGGAGCTCAAAGGTCCTCTTCTCATCGTCAGGAAAGAGAAGGATATCTGGCATCAGGAAAAAGCAAACAGGTCACAACCCCCTTATCAACAGGGCTCTTGGGACCTCATGAGGGATTGCCCCCATCACCCACACATCAGCACCTGGCACCCTTGACCACCCTGTCTGGGAGATCATGCAGCCAGATGCCCCCACTACATCACCTGGTGAGCTGAAACATCCCAGACTTCCTGCTTCCTGGCCAGGTAGTCTGGGCTCTAGAGACAGGCCCTTGACCCTGCACTCACCCCACGTAGGGTCAATGAGCAGCTGGGCCACCCGGAATGCAAGGATGCTCCCTGCAGGAATGGTCACCATCTTCTTCCGGCTTAGGTGGCCCTTGCCTTCACCCTGAAGGATGGATAGAGGCTCAGGGATGTACAGCGAATAACTGTGGGTGAGCACTGGTGACTGGCTTTAGCGGTTGTAGCTCACTGGGCAAGAGAGGCTATGGGTTGCTTCTGCAAGGGTCTTGGAAGAGCCTAGACCAGCTGCTGCATGGGAGGCGGTTCCCTGGCCTCTTAAGATTTGTGTCATTGCTCTGTGCTCAAGGCAGGGCCTAGGGCTAACCACACACCTGCAAGCATGTGACTCCAGGCAGTGCAAACTGGCCTGAGCCCTCCCGGGCATGGGTCAGGGTGACCTGCATCTCTTCCTCTGTCTGCAGCACCTCCGTCACCACGAACACATCTACTCCCCGACTCCGAAGCTGTTGCAGGATTTTATGTTCAGGCTGCTGCAGGTGCCTACAGAAAGATTGCTGGGCTTGCCCACCGTAGACTAGCTCCCTTTTCTACCCCCTGATGACAGGTGGGATGGAAAGGCTAGGGAGAGCCAGGCGGATGTCTGTGAGTTCAAGGCCAGCCTGGGCCACAGAGTGAGTTCCAGGAAAGGCACAAAGCTACACAGAAAAACCCTGTCTCGAAGAAAAAAAAAAAAAAAAAAAAGAACCCACCAGTGTCTAGGTGGTGGATGTAGGAGTATGACAGATTCAAACAGAGAGAAGTGGACACCTGTACCTGTGGAGAGAGTCCATTCTGGACTGTTCATAAACGCTCCCAGTCCACTTCACTCCTTTCCCATAGCAGCTGTGAGCTCAGCCTGATCCTCAAGATACAGCCCTGGCAAGGGAGCCTTACTGGCTCCAGTACCATCCTTCCCAACCTGCCATTGTTCATAGCGCTCCCTTCCTCTGGGACTTCCCTTGCTCAGTGCTGAGAGACACTGCTTCAGAACCCTCCTGATGCCCGGCACCCCGCAGACTTCCCAAGAGCATGGCTGCTCAAGGTCAGAGAGCCCTCATCCCTGCCGGCGGCTAAAGGTCAGAGAGCCCTCATCCTTGCCGGCGGCTCAAGGGCAGAGAGCCCTCATCCCTGCCAGCAGCTCAAGGTCAGAGAGTCCTAATCCCTGCCGGCGGCTCAAGGTCAGAGAGCACCCACTGCTCAAGGTCAGAGAGCCATCATCCCTGCCGGCGGCTCAAGGTCAGAGAGCCCTCCTCCCTGCCCGCGGCTCACCTCTCTTGATGCATGACCACCCAGGTGTTCTGAGTCACACGCAGTATACACACGTTCATGGATGCACTGTGACTGCCAGATATGGCAGCCGCGCCAGCAATCTTCCACTGGTCCATGCTTTCCAGCGCCATGCGACCCTGCACGTTCCCGGCGGCGGCATCAGAGATTTGGAAGCGGCCGCAGCATTCGGGTTCTGAGGCAAGACTGACTCTAAGGTTCCATTACACTACCCACTGCCTTGCCTTTCCTCTGTAGCTGTGGGTCCTTTAACGAGCTCCTTCCTCTGGAACTGGGGCCAGAGGAACAGAGCGAGCAGAGGAAGGGGGCAGAGCTGATAGAGCCCAGGAGGAGGACAGGCTGGGCTTAGCCCACTATTCAATCTGGGGAGCAGGGAGAGAGATACCTGGTTCTGGAGCACCAGGTTCCAGGATGTCTTTGATTGACAGGTTGACACACTTATATCGGGATTTCCAGAACCATGAGCGTGAGAGTTTCCTGCTCAGGAGGCTGTAGGGTCTGAAGCTGGTGGAGTTCCGAAGGCTGTCCACTGGGATGAGGTCTCCTGTTGAGTCCAGCTCTTTGATGGCACTCTTGACTACCTCTTTAAATGCTGATGGCATGATCCTGAGGGCAGACAGATCGGTCCTCTTAGTTGCCTCCAGCACTTGCTAATGCTCTCCCTTCAAAGTGACCTTGCCTTGCTAGTCCTGACACATCCTGACTGACCACTGCACCGACACAGACCCAGTGTTCACTTTGTGGCTCACTTGTCTGTCTCTCCCTGGAGCCATGGGCCCTGGAGAGAGGAGGCAGCCTACAGCAGGTCCTGTACTAGCCACACCATCAATTCCTGTGTGGAGCCCTTGGCTACTTGGGACATCCTGTTGCCCTCCTTGGCTGAGGACCAAGGCTGGGGAGGGAACACAAGCCCCCACTTCTGGGATATTTGGCACAGGAACCCACAGCAAAGCCAGAGTTCAGATTTCAGTGGTTTCCTCCAGGGCTCTCTCTTATGCACAGCTCCATGAGACAAGTGTCCTGGATGAACCTTCATGGGTCAGAAGCCAGAACAGACTCAGGACAGACAGACAACCTCTTTAGTGTGGAGAAGCAGCCCTACCCCTCGGAAACTGGGTTCCTGGGGCCTGCTGATGGTGGAGAGTGAGCCAGGAAGGCACTTGGAGGGCAGAGAGGGACTTGTGGGCCAGGGGATCAGCATGAGGCCCAGAAGCCTAGAAAGTCAAGCCCAAACCAGGCTGGCTCCACTGTCTGAGCTAGTGGGTGGAATTCATAGAGGCTACTATGCCCTAGAGGCTAGAGCATCCTCATTCTCAGTAATCTGGTCCTGCTACCTAAAACTGCGCAGCACTTTTTCTTTCTTAAACATCTGGGCAGTAGGAAAAGATCTAAATGATCTTTTCTGTCTGGTGTAGTGGAGCTGCTGGGAAAGGCTGCATCCCCCATCCGACAAACAGGCATCTGGGCCCTAGAGCAGACCAAGCCAGAGGAGGAGAAGCCGGACTCTGGGAGGGCTGAGTAGCAGGGTGGCTCACCTCGATCTTCAGATCTTCACCTCTACTGAGGTGCCTGGGCCCACCAAACGAAGCAAGGAAGTTCAGGGAACCAGGGAAGGGTCTCTTGTCTGCTCAGCCCGGGAGCCACGAGATCCCAACTGCGAGGAGGTGCCAGGACACAAAAGTGAACCTGTGAAGCTGCAGCCCCCATGAGGACTCAGTGGCACGTCCAAGGAGCCCTCCCTCCCTCCCGGAACAGTTGGACAGCACAATGGCTGCAGTCTGGCGGCCCCAGCCTCCTCCTCTTCCCTGGAGCTCACCAGGACCGTGGGAAACGCCTCTCTTCTCATGAACTGGGAGCTTCGGTTACATCTGGTCCTGGTACCTAAAACTGCACAGCACTTGTTCTTTCTTAAACATCTGGGCAGTAGGAAAAGGTCTACATGGACTTCTGTAGAGATACACAACTGTGCAAATTGTCCAACAAGCACATCATGAGTTATCCGGAAAATGCAAATCAAAACTAGATAGCATCAAGGCTGGCTTTCATCCTAAGTAAATAGTAGTAAGAATGTGGAGACACAAACCTGGGGTTCTTGCAGGCAAACAGTGGCGGAGCAGCTGATACATAGGCAGTTTTTCAAACAGGTATATGTTTAGTTACCAGGTGACCTAGGGTTGGACTTTTAGGTGTGTATCTGTCTCTGCTTCCTCAACCAGCAAGGAAACCGCAACACCGAGCTCTTGTTCAAGCTGTTGACTCAGGCCGTTAACAAGTGTCTTCTCTCCCCTGGAGGAGCTCTGTCCCAACCTTATATAGGTCCTGCTTCACCAACCTGCTAATGCCACGTGAGGCTATCGAATTGGTGCACCTTTGCCTGAGCAAGCCATGTCATGATGCCAAGCCAAATATGGAGCTGTTCATCACAGAGAGCACTCACCGGCAGGAGGGTGGAAGGCGGAAGCCAGCGCCATTTTGGGGTGCGGCTGTACGCAGCTCTCTACACATATCCAAAGCTAGAGTTTATCGAGGAAGAGGAGGAGGAGTAGCTGCGGGTTGTGCCTGTCAAAAGTGAAGCGTTTGCCTAAAAAGCAAACAAGAGTCAAACAGATATGTACACACCAAAGTTCATGGTAGCATTTACATTTTCTCTTTAGAGTTTGAAGGTTTTATTGTATGTGCACTTTTTTTTTCTTTTTTTTTT